CGAACTTCCTCCTCCCTTAGTTTATACACTTTCACCTCCCTCTTACTTGTTGTTGCCACCTTCCTCTTTTCCCATCTACCTCTTACTCTAACTGTAGCTACAACTAAATAATGATCCGATATATCAGTTTGCCCCTCTATAAACATGTACATCCTGGAGCCTACCCATCAACCTTTTATCCACCAATACATAATCTAATAAACTACTTTCATTACGTGCTACATCATACCTTGTATATTTATTTATCCTCTTTTTCATAAAATATGTATTACTTATTACCAAATCTCTTTCTACACATAGCTCAATTAAAGGCTCCCCATTTACATTTACCCCTGGCACCCCAAATTTACCTATTACTCCCTCCATAACATTTTTACCTACTTTAGCATTGAAATCCCCAACCACAAGTACTCTCACACTTGGTTCAAAACTCCCCACGCATTCACTCAACATTTCCCAAAATCTCTCTCTCTCCTCTACACTTGTCTCTTCTCCAGGTGCATACACGCTTACTATAACCCACTTTTCACATCCAATCTTTATTTTACTCCACATAATCCTTGAGTTAATACATTTATAGTCCCTCTTTTCCTGCCATAGCTTATCCTTCAACATTATTGCTGCTCCTTCTTTAGCTCTAACTCTATTTGAAACCCCTGACCTAATCCCATTTATTCCTCTCCATTGAAACTCACCCACCCCCTTCAGCTTTGTTTCACTTAAAGCCAGGACATCCAGCTTCTTCTCATTCATAACATCCACAATCATCTCTTTCTTATCATTTGCACAACATCCACGCACATTCAGACTTCCCACTTTGACAATTTTCTTCTTCTTATTCTTTTTAGTAATCTTTACAGGAAAAGGGGTTACTAGCCCATTGTTCTCGGCATTTTAGTTGACTTTTACAACACGCATGGCTTACGGAGGAAAGATTCTTATTCCATTTCCCCATGGATATAAAAGGAAAAGTATTAAGACCAAGAACTATTAAGATAAAATCAAAGAAAGCTCAGGTGAGTGTGTATAAATAAACGTGTACATGTATGTGTAGTGTGACCTAAGTGTAAGTAGAAGTAGCAAGACGTACCTGAAATCTTGCATGTTCATGAGACAGAAAAAAGGACACCAGCAATCCTACCATCATGTAAAACAATTACAGGCTTTCGTTTTACACTCACTTGGCAGGACGGTAGTACCTCCCTGGGCGGTTGCTGTCTACCAACCTACTACCTATTATATATATATTCTTTCTTTCTTCTTTCAACACATCGGCCGTATCCCACCAAGGCAGGGTGGCCCAAAAGGAAAAACAAAAGTTTCTCCTTTCACATTTAGTAATATATACAGGAGAAGGGGTTACTAGCCCCTTGCTCCTGGCATTTTAGTCGCCTCTTACAACACGCATAGCTTACGGAGGAAGAATTCTGTTCCACTTCCCCATGGAGATAAGAGGAAATAAACAAGAACAAGAGCTAGTAAGAAAATAGAAGAAAACCCAGAGGGGTGTGTATACATATGCTTGTACATGTATGTGTAGTGTGACCTAAGTGTAAGCAGAAGTAGCAAGACGTACCTGAAATCTTGCATGTTCATGAGACAGAAAAAAGGACACCAGCAATCCTACCATCATGTAAAACAATTACAGGCTTTCGTTTTACACTCACTTGGCAGGACGGTAGTACCTCCCTGGGCGGTTGCTGTCTACCAACCTACTACCTATTATATATATATATATATATATATATATATATATATATATATATATATATATATATATATATATATATATATATTATTATTATTTTTTTTTTTTTTTCAACAAGTCGGCCGTCTCCCACCGAGGCAGGGTGACCCAAAAAAGAAAGAAATCCCCAAAAAGAAAATACTTTCATCATCATTCAACACTTTCACCACACTCGCACATTATCACTGTTTTTGCAGAGGTGCTCAGAATACAAACAGTCTAGAAGCATACACATATAAAGATACACAACATATCCCTCCAAACTGCCAATATCCCAACCCCTCCTTTAAAGTGCAGGCATTGTACTTCCCATTTCCAGGACTCAAGTCCGACTATATGAAAATAACCGGTTTCCCTGAATCCCTTCACTAAATATTACCCTGCTCACACTCCAACAGATCGTCAGGTCCCAAGTACCATTCGTCTCCATTCACTCCTATCTAACACGCTCACGCACGCTTGCTGGAAGTCCAAGCCCCTTGCCCACAAAACCTCCTTTACCCCCCCTCTCTCCAACCCTTTCGAGGACGACCCCTACCCCGCCTTCCTTCCCCTATAGATTTATATGCTTTCCATGTCATTCTACTTTGATCCATTCTCTCTAAATGACCAAACCACCTCAACAACCCCTCTTCTGCCCTCTGACTAATACTTTTATTAACTCCACACCTTCTCCTAATTTCCACACTCCGAATTTTCTGCATAATATTTACACCACACATTGCCCTTATATATATATATTTTTTTTTTATTATCACACTGGCCGATTCCCACCAAGGCAGGGGGCCCGAAAAAGAAAAACTTTCACCATCATTCACTCCATCACTGTCTTGCCAGAAGGTGCTTTACACTCCAGTTTTTTAAACTGCAACATTAACACCCCTCCTTCAGAGTGCAGGCACTGTACTTCCCATCTCCAGGACTCAAGTCCGGCCTGCCGGTTTCCCTGAATCCCTTCATAAATGTTACTTGCTCACACTCCAACAGCACGTCAAGTATTAAAAACCATTTGTCCTCCATTCACTCCTATCAAACACGCTCATGCATGCCTGCTGGAAGTCCAAGCCCCTTGCACACAAAACCTCCTTTACCCCCTCCCTCCAACCTTTCCTAGGCCGACCCCTACCCCGCCTTCCTTCCACTACAGACTGATACACTCTTGAAGTCATTCTGTTTTGCTCCATTCTCTCTACATGTCTGAACCACCTCAACAACCCTTCCTCAGCCCTCTGGACAACAGTTTTGGTAATCCCGCACCTCCTCCTAACTTCCAAACTACGAATTCTCTGCATTATATTCACACCACACATTGCCCTCAGACATGACATCTCCACTGCCTCCAGCCTTCTCCACGCTGCAACATTCATCACCCACGCTTCACACCCATAAAAAGAGCGTTGGTAAAACTATACTCTCATACATTCCCCTCTTTGCCTCCAAGGACAAAGTTCTTTGTCTCCACAGACTCCTAAATGCACCACTCACTCTTTTTCCCTCATCAATTCTATGATTCACCTCATCTTTCATAGACCCATCCGCTGACACGTCCACTCCCAAATATCTGAATACGTTCACCTCCTCCATACTCTCTCCCTCCAATCTGATATCCAATCTTTCATCACCTAATCTTTTTGTTATCCTCATAACCTTACTCTTTCCTGTATTCACCTTTAATTTTCTTCTTTTGCACACCCTACCAAATTCATCCACCAATCTCTGCAACTTCTTTTCAGAATCTCCCAAGAGCACAGTGTCATCAGCAAAGAGCAACTGTGACAACTCCCACTTTGTGTGTGATTCTTTATCTTTTAACTCCACGCCTCTTGCCAAGACCCTCGCATTTACTTCTCTTACAACCCCATCTATAAATATATTAAACAACCACGGTGACATCACACATCCTTGTCTAAGGCCTACTTTTACTGGGAAATAATTTCCCTCTTTCCTACATACTCTAACTTGAGCCTCACTATCCTCGTAAAAACTCTTCACTGCTTTCAGTAACCTACCTCCTACACCTATATTGTATATATATATATATATATATACAATATATATATATATATACAATATATATATATACAATATATATACAGTGGACCCCCGCATAACGATGGCATCACATAGCGATTTTTCCGCATACCGATTACTTTTATCGCAAAATTTTTGCCGCGCATACCGATTAAAAACCCGCTTACCGATTTTCGTCCGAGACGCGTCCAATGTGCCCTCAGCCAGCCTCACATGTGCCGGCCGTCCCATTGTTTACCAGCCAGCCTCCGCGGTAACATCCAAGCATACACTCGGAATATTTCGTATTATTACAGTGTTTTCGGTGCTGTTTCTGGAAAATAAGTGACCATGGGCCCCAAGAAAGCTTCTAGTGCCAACCCTGTGGTAAAAAGGGTGAGAATTAGTATGGAAATTAAGAAAGATTTTGAAGGGTTTGGGGCTAACCCTGAGAAGCCTATGCCAGTTGTGGAATCCATTGTGCCTACTTCAAAGATTAAGGAAATGTGTGCACAGTGGGTTGAACTGCAAACCTTTATAGATGAAAATCACCCTGACACAGCTGTTGCAAGCCGTGCTGGTGACTATTTCAATGACAATGTTGTGGCCCATTTTAGACAAATCGTAAAGGAACGGGAGGTACAGAGCTCTATGGACAGATTTGTTGTGCGACAGAGGTCCAGTGACTCTCAAGCTGGTCCTAGTGGCATTAAAAGAAGAAGGGAAGTAACCCCGGAAAAGGACTTGCTACCTCAAGTCGTAATGGAAGGGGATTCCCCTTCTAAACAGTAAGAAGATAATGCTCTCCCCTCCTCCCATCCCATCAATCATCACCAGATCTTCAATAAAAGTAAGTGTCATGTAATTGTGCATGCCTTTTTCAGTTTGTGTGTATTAAAATTAACATTTCATGTGGTAAAAAAAATTTTTTTTCATACTTTTGGGCGTCTTGCACGGATTAATTTTATTTCCATTATTTCTTATGGGGAAAATTCATTCGCATAACGATTATTTCGCATAACAATTATCCCTCTTGCACGGATTAAAATCGTTAACCGGGGGTCCACTGTATATATATCTAATCTGATTACCATTACCATTCATAAGAAATAATGAGCTTAACGCTTAGTTCTGATAATAGTAATAATTGGGAGTTTACCCTTTTTCTCGGGATATTTATATGCTTTTACTATGCATTTAAATTATATTAGTGCAGCTTCATTAACCTAATTTGATCTTTCAGGAGCAAGGAGGATGTTCCTGTTCGATACACTGACACACTGTTTACTGAAGGCGAACGAGGGCTTAGCATCAAGGCTACTCCAATCACTCTAGTGATGCAGGATGTTCGCAACAAGAGCTTTCTTATGAACATCTTTGACACACCAGGACATGTAAACTTCTCTGATGAAGTAAGTGCTGCTTGAATGTTGAATTAATATTATACAATCTCTCCTCACTTAACAATGGAGTTCCGTTCCTAAGAGAAGGTCGGTAAACAAATTGTCGTTAAGCGAGGAGCATACTATACTGGCAGTGGGTTTGTGTCAACCATCTTTAGATATTATTTTAATGTCACCTTTGTATTTTTAGTATATTTTTAAATATACAGTAGTGTACTGTATATTGTAATAAACAGAATAGAGGAAACTAGCTCTAATATACATTACAGTGGTCCCTCGCTTTTCGTAGTTCTCGGGAATCATTGATTTCGGAAATCATAGGGATATTTTCGTATAAACATGGGCTCGCTAATCATTGATTGACTCGCGAATAGTAGTTTGTCCGGGATGCATACGCACAGTGTAAGCCGGGGCGGCCTCCCTACCCAGCCAGTCTGGCATTGTTTACCAGTGAGCGAAGGTCCCCTCACGTGCTCCTATGAAATATATCATAATATTCTACTCATTTTAGTGCTTGCAAGTACTAAATAAGCTACCATGGCTCCAAAGAAAGCTCCTAGTGCCAAGCCTGTGGTAAAGAAGGTGAGAAATACGATTGAATTTAAGAAAACCATCATTGAACAATATGAAAGTGGCACAAGTGCGGCCGAACTGGCCAGGATGTATAAGAATGCACAACCATGTGTTCCATATTGGCTAAGAAAAAGGAAATCAAGGATGCTGTTGCTGTTCCTGCTGCAAGAGCTTCAGCAGGAACAGCAACAGATTGCAGCTCAGAGTCTTGCTGCAGAGGAGGAGGAAGAGAGATGGAAGAAGGTGCCTTTTTCAGAAATTAAAGAGATTTTTGCTATGTGGGGTAAGATGGAAAGCTTTATGGAGAAACATCACCCTGACAAGGTTGTTGCAAGCCATGTTGGCAACATGTACAGTGACAAAGTCTTGGGCCATTTTAGGGAAGTGTTAAAGAGACTCCAGAAACGGAGCTCTCTCCACAGTTATTTTGCGAGACAGGACTCCAGTGACTCTCAAGGTGGTCCTAGTGCCATTAAGAAACGGAGAAGAGAAGCAACCCCAGAGAAGCAAATGGTACCTGAGGTGTTGCTGGAAGGGGATTCCCCTTCCAAACTGTAAACAATCCAGTCTCTCTCCTCCTCCAGTCTCCCATACACTAAGATTCTAAGAAGAATCTCCAATAAGGGTAAGTGTTATGCTGTTAATGTTTCATTCATCATTTCCCATTGTATTGTTTATGTACTACATCTATATTTCATGTAAAAAAATTTTTTGTTTTAATACTTCTGGGTGTCAGGAACGGATTAATTGTATTTACATTATTTCTCATGGGGAAAATTGATTCGTAAATCGTAGATTTTGATAATAGTAGCAACTCCAGGAACGGATTAACTATGAAAAACGAGGGACCACTATACTTAGTTATGCACTCTGGTCCGAGTGGTCATTAAACGAGTATGTTGTTAAGTGAGGAGAGGGTGTAATTGTTACTATTCTCCATGGGGAGGTGTAGAAGAAGAATTCATCCATAAGCCATGCATGTCATAAGAGGCAACTAAAATGCCAGGAGCAAGGGGATGATAACCTCTTTTCCAGTATAAATTACTAAATGTAAAAAAAAAAAAAAAAAAAAACCGTGGTTCTTTTCTTTTGGGTCACCTTGCCTTGGTGGGAGACAGCTGCTGTGCTAAAGAAAAATTGTTACCATGGAGAGTTGTGTGCTTTGAAATTATCTTATATTGCATTGTGTTTTAATTGCTCATGTCCTGCACATAATGTTCCTTTATTCTTTCCTTTCTTTAAGTTCACATGCTTTTTGCCTTAAATCTCATTTATTTTTTATTTTTGTCAGTACAGTGTTATTGTTGTAACTAACACATAAATTGGAGATAAGTTTTTTGATGACATTGTGCTTATCGTGTACTGATAAAATATTCTTGAAGTTGTACATTACTAAACAGACAGTTAAATTAATTTCAGGCCTGAGAAAAAGAAATTATATTGTTTCTATTTAATTTATATAACAGATGTGAAAAGATGCATTTTAATGGAGTAATATTCATATTTATTTTAATTAAAAACTTTTAAGATTAAACAAATTTAATTTGGGCAAATTTACAGATGTTTTACAAAGAAAATGTAGTACAATTTTGATATGTATTTTTATCATAAACACTGAGCCTGGTGGTTAACGCTCTCGCTTCACACGGTGAGGGCCTGGGTTCGATTCCCAGCCAGAGTAGAAACATTGGACGTGTTTCTTTCCACCTGTTGTCTATGTTCCCCATCAGTAAAATGGGTACCTGGGTGTTAGTCGACTGGTGTGGGTCGCATCCTGGGACACTGACCTAAGGAGGCCTGGTCACAGACCGGGCCGCGGGGGCGTTGACCCCCGGAACTCTCTCCAGATAAACTTCAGATTATCTGGAACCATTATCAAGATGACTTAATTATTGTTCAGGGCTGAAGATATTAAGAAATAGACTGTATAAAAGTTGTTCATCACCTCGTTCCTACTTCTGTTGGAATTACAGTTAAATTGTTTACTGATTATTGAAATATTCTTTATTATAAATTTTTTGTGTTGCTTCTTGAATTATCATTTGCAGAAAGTATTTAATACTTGCCCTTAAATATCTAGTACATGTATATATATTTTTTTAACACATTGGCCATCTACTGATGCAGGGTGACCCAAAAAAAGAAACACCTTCACCATTATTCATACACAATAACTGTCTATGCAGAGGTGCTCAGATATGATAGTTCAAATGTCACTCCACACAGCCAATATCCCAAACTTCTTCAAAGTGCAGGCCTTGCAACCATTTAATAAATCACCACGGGCCCAAAGAAAGCCAGTGCCAGCCCTCCAGGACTCAAGTCTTGATAACCGGTTTCCCTGAATCCCTAAACAAAATATTACCCTGCTCATATATATACGTGTATATAGTATCTTGTTCCTAGTTTGCAGTGAGTTGTCTTATTACTATTTTTTTTTTTTTTTTTTTTTTCAACAAGTCGCCCGTCTCCCACCGAGGCAGGGTAATCATTAATATTTTAAATGTTCTGTTTCAAATTATCTGAATTACAGTACTGGGTGAACCATACACTGACTGTTTGGTTAAGCTATAAGAATAACTCACATTCAACAGGGTTAAGATAATGTGAATGTTTTCTCTGTAGAACTTCACTATGTAATTCATGTTTGACTTCATTTTGGCCACCCTTTAAGAACATAAGAAAAATGGAACACTTCAATAAGTTTACTGGCCCATGCTAAGTAAGTTCAAGTCACATCTGCTTTAGAAGGAAAAAGCATTGCAAGAGGCCTGCTGGCCTAAGCTGGGCAGGTTCACTCATGTACTTATCTAACCTATTTTTAAAGCTACTCAAAGGTTTAACCTCAGTGATGCTACTTGGGAATTTGTTCCACTCATCTGCAACTCTATTACCAAACCAATGTTTTCCTATATTCTTTTTAATTCTAATTTTTTCCAACTTGCACTCATTGCTGTATCGTACTAAAAGATTTATTTTCAGTAAATATATTTAACCACTTTGCTCTTTTATTTACATTTGTTTTTATCAGTTTTTTTGGTAATTGTTTAATGGGACTTTTTTTTTTCAGGTGACAGCTGCTATGAGGTTAAGTGATGGTGTTGTGGTGTTCGTAGATGCTGCTGAAGGTGTGATGCTCAACACACAGCGACTCTTGAAACATGCTGTACAAGAAAGGCTAGCCATCACCGTGTGCATCAACAAAGTGGATCGCCTCATACTGGAACTAAAGTTGCCTCCTCAGGATGCATACTATAAACTGAGACACATAGTTGAAGAAGTTAACTCTCTTCTCCAGCAGTATACAGACCAGGAGAATCCACAAACCATCTCCCCTTTGCTAGGCAATGTTTGCTTTGCCAGCTCTCAGTATTCTCTCTGTTTTACTCTGAAATCCTTTGCTAAAACATATTGCCAGCATTATGGCTATGAGCTGCCTCTGGAGGATTTTGCAAGGCGTCTGTGGGGTGACATATATTTCAATCCTCGTACTAGGAAGTTTACAAAGAAGCCTCCCACTTCAACGGCTCAGAGGAGCTTTGTAGAATTTATCCTTGAGCCTCTTTATAAAATCTTTGCACACATTGTTGGAGATGTAGATACTCATTTGTTATCTTTAATGGAAGAGTTGGGTATCCACATGAGCAAGGAAGAGCAGAAGATGAATATCAGACCATTGCTGAAACTTTTCATGACTAAATTCATTGGTGATTTTGAAGGGTTCGTAGATATGTGTGTTCAGCACATACCTTCACCCAAAGCATATGGAAAGCAGAAGGTGGAGACAACTTACACCGGCCCGCTGGATGCACAGCTGGCAGAGAGCATGATGGTGTGCGACCCGGAGGGTCCCCTCGTTGTTCACACTACCAAGCAGTATCCCAATCAAGATGCAACTGCTTTTCACGTATTTGGACGTGTTCTTTCAGGAACCATTCATGCTAACCAAGACGTTCGTGTGTTGGGTGAAAAGTATACGCTCATGGACGAGGAAGATTCCCGTATATTGACTGTTGGAAGGTTGTGGGTGTCCGAAGGCCGATACAACATAGAGGTGAATGCTGTTCCTGCTGGCAACTGGGTCTTGATTGAGGGAATTGATGAACCCATTGTGAAGACTGCTACCATCACAGATCTTCCACCCAGTAGTGAACTGCATATTTTCCGACCACTTAAGTTTAACACCCAGTCTGTCATAAAGATTGCAGTTGAACCAGTAAATCCTTCAGAGCTGCCCAAGATGTTAGACGGTCTTCGTAAAGTTAACAAATCATACCCACTGTTGAGTAATAAGGTAGAGGAATCTGGAGAGCATATTATTCTTGGAACAGGAGAATTATACCTGGATTGTGTCATGCATGATCTGAGGAAGATGTACTCAGAGATTGACATTAAGGTGGCTGACCCTGTGGTCAGTTTTTGTGAGACTGTCGTTGATACGTCCTCACTAAAATGTTTTGCAGAAACTCCAAACAAGAGAAATAAGATCACCATGATTGCCGAACCATTAGAAAGGGGTTTAGCTGAAGATATTGAAGGAGAAGTTGTACAAATAAATTGGGACCGTAGACGACTGGGAGAGTTTTTCCAGACACGCTATGATTGGGATGTGTTGGCTGCTCGGTCAATTTGGGCTTTTGGTCCCGATCAGAGTGGGCCAAATATTTTGGTAGATGACACACTGCCCTCAGAAGTAGACAAGAATTTATTGTCATCTGTAAGAGATTCTATTGTGCAAGGTTTCCAGTGGGGTACAAGAGAAGGTCCTCTCTGTGAAGAACCCATTCGAAATTGTAAGTTCAAGATTCTTGATGCAGTCATAGCCGAGGAGCCTTTGCATCGAGGTGGTGGTCAAGTTATTCCAACAGCCAGGAGGGTGGCATACTCAGCGTTCTTGATGGCAACGCCTCGACTCATGGAACCTTACTATTTTGTGGAAATCCAGGCTCCAGCAGATTGTGTATCATCAGTATATACGGTGTTAACAAAGCGTCGTGGCCACGTAACCCAGGATGCCCCTGTAGCTGGTTCCCCACTCTATACTATTAAAGCCTTCATTCCAGCCATTGATTCCTTTGGGTTTGAGACAGATTTGCGTATGCATACACAGGGTCAGGCCTTCTGTTTGAGTGTGTTCCATCATTGGCAGATTGTGCCAGGTGATCCTCTAGATAAGAGCATTGTGATTCGCCCCTTAGAGCCCCAGCCAGCCACTCATCTGGCCCGTGAGTTCATGATCAAGACTCGACGGAGAAAAGGCTTGTCAGAGGATGTATCTATTAATAAGTTCTTCGATGATCCTATGTTGCTGGAACTTGCCAGACAAGATGTGACACTCAACTATGCTTAAGGGTTAGTTTTAGTTTGTACCTGTATGAGAAAAAATATACTTTACATTGTACAACATTGTTTTTTATACAGATCATTAATTTTTTTTATCATCAACATACCTAAACCAATGACCAATATAACTCAGTTGAGACTGAAGGTAGAAGTAGCTCCCCACGTCCCTTTTTTTTTTTTTTTTTTTTTTTTTTTTTTTTTTTTTAACACATGGGCTGTTTCCCACCAAGGCAGGGTGACCCTGAAAAGAAGAAACATTTTAATCATCACTGTCTTGCTGGAGGCGTGTTGATACCACAATTCAAAAAATGCAACATTCCTCCCCTTCCCTTGTCCAAAGATCAAAAAATAATATTTATTTTTCCCATTTTACTTTCCTGTACAATATAATAAACTAAGTCATAGCTGGACAGCTTGGCTAAATGAATTTTTTTTTTTAATTCAACATACAGTGAAACTGAATGCTTAGGCAATGTGTGTGTGTTTGGGGGGAGATGTGTGTGTGTTTGGGGGAGACGTTTGTGTGTTTGGAGGAGACGTGTGTGTGTTTGGAGGAGACGTGTGTGTTTGGAGGAGACGTGTGTGTTTGGGAGGAGACGTGTGTGTGTGTTTGGGGGGAGACGTGTGTGTGTGTTTGGGGGGAGACGTGTGTGTGTGTGTGTGTTTGGGGGGGAGACGTGTGTGTGTTTGGGGGGGAGACGTGTGTGTGTGTGTGTGTTTGGGGGGAGACGTGTGTGTGTGTGTGTGTTTGGGGGGAGACGTGTGTGTGTTTGGGGGGAGACGTGTGTGTGTTTGGGGGGAGACGTGTGTGTTTGGGGGGGAGACGTGTGTGTGTGTGTGTGTGTTTTGGGGGGGAGACGTGTGTGTGTGTGTGTGTGTGTTTGGGGGGGAGACGTGTGTGTGTGTTTGGGGGGGGGAGACGTGTGTGTGTGTGTGTGTGTGTGTACTCACCTATTTGTACTCACCTATTTGTGGTTGCAGGGGTCGAGTCTTAGCTCCTGGCCCCGCCTCTTCACCGGTTGCTACTGGGCCCTCTCTCTCCCCGCTCCATGAGCTTTATCAAACCTCGTCTTAAAACTGTGTATGGTTCCTGCCTCCACTACGTCATTTTCTAGGCTATTCCACTGCCTTACAACTCTATCTATGACTGAAGAAATACTTCCTAACATCTCTCTGACTCATTTGTGTCTTCAACTTCCAATTGTGGCCTCTTGTTTCTGTGTCCCCTCCCTGGAACATCCTGTCTTCGTCCACCTTGTCTATTCCACGCAGTATTTTATATGTCGTTATCATGTCTCCCCTGACCCTCCTGTCCTCCAGTGTCGTCAGGCCGATTTCCCTTAATCTTTCTTCATAGGACATTCCCCTTAGCTCTGGAACTAACCTTGTGGCAAACCTTTGTACTTTCTCTAGTTTCTTGACGTGCTTTATCAAGTGCGGGTTCCAAACAGGTGCTGCATACTCCAGTATGGGCCTGACATACACGGTGTACAGTGTCTTGAACGATTCCTTACTAAGGTATCGGAATGCTGTTCTCAGGTTTGCCAGGCGCCCATATGCTGCAGCAGTTATCTGATTGATGTGTGCTTCCGGAGACATGCTCGGTGTTATACTCACCCCAAGATCTTTCTCCTTGAGTGAGGTTTGCAGTCTTTGGACACCTAGCCTATACTCTGTCTGTGGTCTTCTGTGCCCTTCCCCTATCTTCATGACTTTGCATTTGGCAGGATTAAATTCGAGAAGCCATTTGCTGGACCAGGTGTCCAGTCTGTCCAGGTCTCTTTGAAGTCCTGCCTGGTCCTCATCAGATTTAATTCTCCTCATTAACTTCACATCATCTGCAAACAGGGACACTTCTGAGTCTAACCCTTCCATCATGTCGTTCACATATACCAAAAATGGCACTAGTCCTAGGACAGACCCCTGTGGGACCCCGCTCGTCACAGGTGCCCACTGTGATACATCATTACGTACCATGACTCGTTGTTGCCCCCCTGTCAGGTATTCTCTGATCCATTGCAGTGCCCTTCCTGTTATATGCGCCTGATGCTCTAGCTTCTGCACTAATCTCTTGTGAGGAACTGTGTCAAAGGCCTTCTTGCAGTCCAAGAAGATGCAATCAACCCACCCCTCTCTCTTGTGTCTTACTTCTGTTATTTTATCATAAAACTCCAGAAGGTTTGTGACACAGGATTTGCCTTCCGTGAATCCGTGCTGGTTGGCATTTATACTCTTGTTCAGTTCCAGGTGCTCCACCACTCTCCTCCTGATAATCTTCTCCATAATTTTGCATACTATACACGTCAATGACACAGGTCTATAGTTTAGTGCCTCTTTTCTGTCTCCTTTTTTAAAAATGGGAACTACATTTGCCGTCTTCCATACCTCAGGTAGTTGCCCAGTTTCCAGGGACATGTTGAAGATTGTGGTAAGTGGCACGCACAACATATCTGCTCCCTCTCTAAGGACCCACGGGGAGATGTTGTCCGGTCCCATTGCCTTTGAGGTATCGATGTCCCTTAGCAGTTTCTTCACCTCCTCCTCCTCTGTATGTATGTCGTCCAACACTTGTTGGTGTATTCCTTGCTGGTGTCCCCATCTGGTCTGTCCCCCCAGAGTCCTTCCTGTCTCTACTGTAAATACTTCTTTAAATCTCGTGTTGAGCTCCTCACATACCTCTTGATCGTTTCTTGTGAGTTCTCCACCTTCTTTCCTCAGCCTTATCACCTGGTCCTTGACTGTTGTCTTCCTGTGTATGTGTGTGTGTGTGTTTGGGGGGAGACGTGTGTGTGTGTGTTTGGGGGGAGACGTGTGTGTGTTTGGGGGGAGACGTGTGTGTGTTTGGGGGGAGACGTGTGTGTGTGTGTGTGTGTGTGTTTGGGGGGGAGATGTGTGTGTGTTTGGGGAGGGTGGATGTGTGTGTGCATGCACGTGTGTATGTGTACATGTATGTGTGTGTAGAAGAAAGAGGTGTTTTATTATTTTCAAAGTACCTTTTAATGAGGGCATGCTTTGATGCTGGTAAACTGTTCTTGATCCAAGGAATTGAAGTTACTCTTCCCTTAAATTAAACCTGGTTGCCTTTGATTTACATGTGATGTATAACCTCTAAGGCTTTTGTGTTTCCCATGTGGAAAAATACATTACCTTAAAAGTATGAGTGTTGAATGTGGTCAGTTATATTGAAATTATTTTATATTGTAGATTGGAGGGTCATTGCTTTATATCACCTCTGGCAAGACAGCTATTGAATGAGTGATGGTGAGTGTGTTTTCTTCGCTGAGTCTCCCCATTTAGGTAGTAAATACTTTTGGCAAGATGGCTATTGGATGAATAATGTTGAATGTGAGAGATGACTTGTGCGGTTAATAAAAAAAAATATATTTTTGATACCCAGATATCAATTATTTTTGCAGTATCTGAACCTTTTCAGTGCATAGTCCCTTCACCAGCATCAAGGTGCCTTCCCTTCAAGGGGGTGCTGATGAAGGGCACTTGATCCAAGGAATTTGAGTTATCCTCACTGGAACTGAGCCTGATTATGTATCTTCCGTTCCACGGGTGCTCTGTGGTCCCTATGGGCACAGTGCTTCTTCATATCATATAATGGGATGCATAATTTCTTGCTCACTGAAGAGTAAAATCTTAATACCTTGTCTAAGAAAAATTGCAACAGACCTGTAATTAATAGAGGAAATTTTTTCCTGTTGATCTGTTCTGAAGCACCTGTAACTTGATAATGTTCCATAATGGACCAGACTGTAGTCTTAGTTTCCTCTATAGATTGTGAGTTAGGTGTGAGTGATTCTACAGTGTTTCCATCATGGGCAGCTGTGTGATGCTCTTGTATGCACCAGCAGGGATTTTCCATACTGGGAGAAGTCAGGGCTCTGAAAATGTGCCCACCTGGATCTTGGAACCAAGTCACAGTTACAAAGAATTCGTTTAGTCTCCTTCATCTGAGGCTATGCTGGGAGACCCATACACTCGCTGATTTCTGTCATCTTCATGTGGAGTCGACCCTGGAACCCATTAATGGGCTCCAGGGTCTGGGGTTTAATGGAAAGATACGGATAAAATAGTATCCTAGTGAATAATTCAATAGGAGTCATACAGCACCTAGGGAATGTAATGTAATTAAGTGTGATCTAAAAAATAGGAGGGTAGCTCCAATTCTTTTGATCAGACCATCTTCAGTATAGAAGAGTAATGAGGGGGTAGCATCTGTTTTGCCTTTTGTCTCTGGCTGACCTCTATGGATATAGCCAGCGCTGTATAGTCCTTGTGGCTTAGCGCTTCTTTCTGATTATAATAATAATAATAATAATATGGATATAGCACTTTCTGAGGCAATAATAATACTGTAATTAGGTTAGGTAAGGTTCGTCAGGAAACAGGACAAATGTTTCCTGACGTGGGTCTTAGTCAGATGATGACCCGCCTTTGGAGCTTTTGGTCATCTGACCGAGGCCTTCCGCTGGCTTACCGGTCCACCCCTTTAAAAATTATGGTCGTTTATAACCATTAATACTGTAATGATAATAAAAATAATATACACAGCTGCTTTTTTGAGTGAGCATTATGAAAGCAAGGTAGTGGAGCTTGCTATATTGTACTCCTCTGTATGTGGTTGCAGGTGTTGAGTGTCAGCTCCTGGCCCTGCCTCTCAACTTTCCACATGGGCCCAATCTTAAAAATATGTATGGAGGCTGCCTGCACCTGAGTTGAGATCATTCCACTTCCTGACCATCCTCAGACTGAACAAATATTTCCTTAACATTCCGGAAAGAAGCAAGTCATCCCCTTGGTAGTATTGTATAAACACTTCATTCTGGTTCAGCCTCTTCAAGAGAAGTACCTTGATGCTGCTGAAGGCTCTTGATCCCAGAAATTTAATTTACTCTCCCCTTCATTGGATCGTACATTACCTTCCATTCTCCAGTCATTGTATGACCTTGATTTTGCTGTGAATGTAACTGCTGTAATTTATTGTAGTCCAGTGAAAAACAAGGGACCCTAGGTTTATTGCTATTACATGTATATCAATATGGGGGGAAGTGT